TCTAGGCTCACCTGCTTGCCTGTACATATTAGTTATGTATATTAATAATGTAGAGGAGCATATGGAGTTTGGCCTTTTTAGTCCATTATGCCACACTATGCCACGTTTTGCGGTATGGGAGGATCACCACCTGGCTACTGCTGTAAAATGTTGAGCGATTCAAACAAAACGTAATCAATAAATAGAACAAAATAAAAAATAAAGCCTGCAAGTGACGTCGCAAGCGGAAGCGCAAGTGTCTGAGAGTGCAAGTCTGAGAGTGCAAGTGCGAGGCTGCAGCCAGACCCTTCTCCAGAAATCACATGCTGTGAGATCTTTATATTTTAAAACTAAGGATTTTTGCATGAACAATGAACCTTAATCAGGCTTTTTGACTGACTAAATTTAATACAAATGAAAATGAGCTGTGAAGAACATACTGAAATATTCCAGTCATCAATAAACTCAAGAAGCTTGGATTGTGAAAATGAGATGTAAATTACATTAAATAATGAAAAATACATTGAGACTGCACAATGTATGGAATGGACTGCACTTATACAGTACTGAACACACATAACACATTGAAAATGTAGATTTAACACAAACAAATCAGCCAGGAATATCACAAACAAAAAGAACTGATGAATTTCAGCATCAAAATGTCAAAAGTGTCCAAGTGGCACATTTAAAGAGTTACTATGACGACACTGAATCTAAATGCTAACAGCAGCTTAGCAAGAGGAAAGGCTCTTCCATGGAAATCAAGTGCCATGCTCCGTCATCAGCAACTGAATGAGCAAATCTCAAGTTCAAAAGATACATGCGAGTTGTCACAGCGCGCTCCTCTTCACTTCCATCACGCTGCGCTCCAAAGACTCTCCAGCCGCACGCAGCTCATCTCTCCGCCGTGCCAGACTGCCACGTTCTTCTTGCAATCGCTCATGCAGCTCTATGTAGCGTCTGCTCTGCAGGTATCTCACCTCCACTTCGCTGTTGCTGGAACTGGCCTTCAGATCTGAAAGATCAAGGCCAAATATCACCGTCATGCATGCAAAGGTGCAGCCACACTAGCTAAAACCCCATGTCCAACACTGCTAACAGTAGCAATGCTATATTCGATAAAACAATTCTGTAATCCAGCATTAATTCATTACTTACTCAACTATTATGGAAAAATAGAAACGAGTATCAAAAACAGCAACTTAAAAAACAAACATATAACTTTGGCATTGTAACTGTATGAGACTAACATCAACAGGTGAACAAACAATAGAAAAAGGACAAAAGTTTGTTTGTATGGAGACAAAAATGTTCTCTTTACACTCCTCATTATATATTAGTGTGCACAGTGTTTTCTTGCACAATTCTGTTATTCTAGAAATGAAGCATGGTACAAAAACTGTTGTTTCATTTAGAGACCGACATTACCTGAATAATGATAACTCGCAGTTTCGTAATGGCTAGAATACACTACACCACTTTCTCATGAGAAAAAAATCTTAACTATTTTATGAAGTGCTGTTTTCATGTTAATTTTTATGATGCGATTTGTTAGAAAGCGTACGATTTTTAGAAAAAAGGTAAGCGTAAGGCTCCACCCCTAACTATCAGTGGGGTGGAGCTATCAACTGACGTATGGATCATACAAATTCATAAGAATTAGCCACCAATTGGTCAAAAACATAAAATAGCTGGAAGAGAACTAATTGTGTGCTGTATGATTGGCACAGATTCAGTTGACAGTTGTTTTTTTTTCCACTGGAGGATAACAATCATGTTGGATATTTTGAGCCGATTTTAGATCACATATTCTTTTCATTTTTTCACGTGTCTTCTAGCAACAAGGGTCATGTTTCTGCTTGAGTTAGTTGTGTTTGGACAGACTTGAACAGTTGGTAGTGTGTGACCCTCAATCATTTAACGTATCATACCCAGTTTGTTTCTGTAATCATTTACAAAGTCAAAAATTTGTTCAGATTGTAAAAGCCATGTAGTGCATCCCAGCCTTAAAGGGATAGATCACCCAAAAATGAAAATTTGATGTTTATCTGCTTACCCCCAGGGCATCCAAGATGTAGGTGACTTTGTTCGTAAACTACGCCAGAGCGCGTACACACCTCACGCACCGGATGCCGTGCGCGCGCCCAAAGACAGTAGGACATAGTATAAATACTGTTCGGTTTCTAGCACAAACCGATCGTTTCGTGTGTTAGGACATCAATGTGTCGTCACGAGCCGCAGGATTTAATTTGGATTTGTCTGTGCATGTCTTTTTTACTCTCATAGATTTTGTTACCATTGCCATGCATTATACGACTGATAGACTGCAACGGTTGGAGTTAAAAATCATCAAATGTGTTCTACTGAAGAAACAAAGTCACCTACATCTTGGATGCCCTGGGGGTAAGCAGATAAACATCACATTTTCATTTTTGGGTGAACTATCCCTTTAAGTCAAGTAGACTGATTCAAGAACTGTTCTGAATGATTCAGTTAATTGTAAATGATTCTTCAGGTACATTTGAATCGGTAACTAGAGGGCTAAAGTTCTTTTCTTAAAATGTGATTTTTTTTGCTGCCGAAATCAATAGGGTTCCATGTAATCGAGAATTTTGTGTAAGGGTGAAGGTTTCCCCATGCAGATTTTGCAGTGGGTTCAAGTTTAACATGATTCTGTCATTAGTTATTCAATTATTCAACTAAATTGTCCAAATTCAATTTAAGTTGATTTAGTGTTTTATATTAATAATACTTTTACATTTTGAACAATAACAACTAAATGAGCCAATGTTTCTATTTATCTCCATCATCATTCTGCACATGCTAAACTATCTAGATGTTACAATTGAATAAATGCATGTTGTTTTAAAGGAACATCTTTCCCCATCTTACCCTATAAACACTGCCCTTCAAAAGTTTGGGATCAGTAAGATTTTTTTAAAGTGTTTTAAAGAAGTCTCCTCTGTTCGTCGAGGCTGCATTTATTTGAGAAAAAAATACAGGGAAAAAACAGTAATATTGTAAAATATTATTACCATTTAAAATAATGGTTTTCATTTTTAATATACTTTAAAATATAATTTGTTTATGTGATGCAAAGCTGATTTTTGATCATGAATCAAACCGTTATTTTAAATTGCAATGATATTTAACAATATTACTGTTTTTTCCTGTATTTCTGGTCATATAAATGCAGCCATGATGAGCAGAAGAGACAAATCTTACTGATCACAAACTTTTGAACGGCAGTGTATGTATATAAATCATATATTATACTAGTTAAACATGGTAGTGGCTACAATTGTTCATCTGCTTTCGCGACATTTTATATGTTAAGTGTCTGAAAACTTCAAGTAACTGCCTTATTTTTCAGATATGTTCATTTCCCTGCATTGCTAGAGCGGGTGTCTTATAGAGAAGTGGTTTTAAGTCAAAGTGCTGCAATATTATGTCCGCTACCTTCCGCAGAATCGGGTAAAACGGTGAAGACTGGATCGTTGGGATAGGCTCGGTTCACATCCTCCGTGATCTGCGCCACTGTCGGCGGGTCGGGACGGGTCGGCAGAACCATCCGCTTCTTGCTTTTGGAACCAAAATTCATCCTGAACAACAAGGACACGCTCTTTATAAAGCATTAGTGTTGAGGCTGACGGGGATACACACTGTACACTGTGCAACAAACACTGCTAGTAAACGACTGAACATATTTCACACGTCAACTGTTTACGTTTAGTACAGCGCTGACGCGTCGGACTCAGAGCATGATTCTTCGATTGTGTCCGAGATCTTGGTGATGATGACTGGCGCCATCTGTCGACTCGGAGTAAAACAGCAAGCATTTATAACAGTACAGTACAGTAAAAAAGCGACTATTACAAGAATACACAAGCTGAGATCACTTTATAGCAACACAGACTTACAAATTAAACCATAATGCTCTCACAACTAGAAATAAATAAAATGAGAGTTGCTCTACAATCAAATAGGTTTTACAGTTGATTGTACGCAGTGTAATTTTCTGCATACTGGGACACTTGACTTTTATGAATCAGATATTTTAGCAAATAAAAATATAGTTTAATTTGTTACTTTTTTTCTATTATTAATTCGAAATTTCACAATATCTCACATCATTATTTTTGTGTATCTTAGTAAAAGAAAAAACGAGCATGGTGACAATGAAAATGGTTTCTATTTGGCAAGTTATAACATAATTAATCCAAAAAACTCAACAGTTGGATATATTTCATTCAGTTTTAGGATTTAAGCTGGTGATGTCAGTGGTACGTGAGAAAAATTAACTCTACAAGAAAGTATCTTTTCAAATGTTGGATACAAAAATGCACTCTAAAAAATGCTGGGTAGTTTCAACCCAGGCTGATATCCATTCCCAGGAAAACTACCTGGAGCGCATGAGGGAGGCCTGGAGGCAGGAGAACCAGGAATTTAAAGAGTCAGGTGCCAAAACTTCTTGTGTTTCTCTTTTTCTTGTGGGACATTTTCATCCCCATTACACTCTAAAAAATGCTGGGTTGTTTCAACCCAACTTTGGGTCAAATATGGACTAACCCAACTGTTGGTTTAAATTTTTACATTAAATTTTTAACCCAAAAGTTGGGTTAGTCCATATTTGACCCAAAGTTGGGTTGAAACTACCCAGCATTTTTTAGAGTGTGTATTGCAATTTTGAAGACTTACATTTTTTATTATAATAATAAGCAGTGTTGGGGAAAGTTAGTTTTAAAAGTAATGCATTACAATATTGCATTACTCCATAAAAAAAGTAACTAATTACGTTACTTCGTTACTTTTTTATGGAAAGTAACGCGTTACGTTACTTTTGCGCTACTTTTAAAATCTGGACAGGGCTTGCTTGTTTGTTTTTAAAATAAAAAAGTTCTATTTTTGGCAAATATAAAAGCCTTTTCACACCAAAAGTGAAATGAATAAGCCTCAGGCTGAAGGGAAAGTTAATTTACGGCCGTTCAGTAGAATGCAGAAGAAGAAATTTCAACACACTTCAGCAATAAACAAAGACACACAAATGTTGTCTAGAGTAATTTTTGCTTATTAGTACGGTTGAACTGGATCATTGAAGGTCAGAAGCAAAGACATTGGTTAATAGAATGGGATTAAATACATAAAGCATATTTGTGTTGTTTAACATTTAATTATTGCAGGTTTGCGTCATATTCTGAGTTGCATTATTTTTATTCATTTTGAGGAATACTGAATCTGTGTGTTTTTT